GCTGCTGTGACCTCTTCACATTCATAAGCATATTCAGAAGTGTAAGCATGTTCAGAAGTGACTGTGTTATTATTCAGTGATTATAGATTCTTCCGAATCACAATAAGACAGAATTTAATATTCAGTCTTAGTCTTATTTTAATTTTGAAAGAATAATTATCTTTCACTATTTATTCTGAGAAATTACTCTTATTTCACTATTTAAGAATTAAATCTAGTTATTTTTCACATCATTTCTGAAAGAAATAATTCATTTTCAGATTTTTTTAATACTCAGTTCTGATAAGACTCACACTAAGAAATATATAAGATCAGATTAAATAAGATTAGATATGAAATTTATAATCTTACTAATCAGTCTAATAATAATACTCTATAATTTTATAAATAATATTAAGTCTTTTATTCTGAATTTCTATGCATCTGAATAATGTAAGAGATATATAACTTATATAATTAATTATCTAAGTTATAAATCACTATATTGAATAATCTTTTAAGAGTTCTCTTAATCTAAAATATTAAATAGTATCAGATACTTTATCTGTAACTGTAACTATTACTCTTCTATTTTTTTATAAAAAGATTATAAAAAAAATCTATTAAAACTGCTTAATATCTCTGATAAAATCTGATAAATCTGATAAAATATAGTTATTAACTTTGTTATTAATCTTTCTAAGAGTCAGAGCTATAAAAATATTCTGATTATTATTAATTAATTAAGTAAAGATATAATATTGATATCTTATAATAAAATAAATATTAAATGAGTTGCTGAAGCTTTCTTATAAAGCTTATTTTATTAAATATATAGCTTACTGAGATTCATAATATCTGATTAAGACTATTAATTTATAGATACTCTCTGAATAAGAATCTGTTAAATTCTCAAAATTATATACTACTTGTTAATCACTTATCACTCTGAAACAGATAATATATCAGAGTAAATAATTTAAACTGTGAAAAATTATCTTTATAAGTTCTGTAATTATTTATAAAATGACTGATATAATCTTTTTTTATATATAAAAGTGATTATCAATGATTAAAATACTATTTTAACAGATATAAGTCTGTTCTTTTTTATATATAATTATTATATAAAAGTGTTAAATCTTTTAAAAATCACACAGTTTATACTTAATTCTCATAGCTTAATTCAGATTACAGATAATATAGTAACAAAGCTCTGAGATACTTATAATTAAACAGAGATCTTTATAATAAGTATAAAATAAGATTAAGAGAATCAGATTAATATATAATAAAATCTCACTGACTAATATAAAATAGAAGATTATTATTATTATTATTATTCTTTAATTATAGATGTATATAGTCAGAGACTATAATATCTATCTGAGAACTTTTAGTTCTCAGAGTTTTTCTAATATCTATAAAGTTAACTATTATACATTTATCAATTTCAGATATATAAAATTATAAAATTTCAGCTCAGAATATAAAAACTCTTTATAAATTGCAGCATTTTAACACCTTCTAATACTTTGAAATCATTTAGAAATATCATGACAAAAGAAAAAAGAACAAAGTCTTAAAGATAGACATATTAAATAAGTAGATAATAAAGAACAGAAAAGAAAAAGTAAAGTAAAGAGTAGACTAGCCGCTGAAATCATGAATTTCACATTTGATCTCATTTGATCTGATCTCATACATTTCTTGATATGAATCCCGCTGAGACTAGTCATTAAAAAAAAAAACATGTAAAGTAACTATATATCAGCGCCCCGGTGGCCGAATGGTTAATGCGGCCACCTAGTAGCGCCTTGGTGTGGGAAACCAAGGCGCGTGAGTTCGAAACCCGCAGGGGATACATTAAATTCAGAACTCAAGCATCTCAGGTTTCTAATAAATACAGAGGTGTACAAATCACTTCAACAATCACTCTATGTTCCTGGGCTGGGAAGTTATTATTGCATGTATCTAATTGTCACTTCTTTGTATTTTTCTATGTTCTTGTTATCTTGATATGATCTCAACACCTGTATTTTCTTCTGTATAATTAACACTTGATCTGTATTTAACATCACGCAAGGACTCATCATAAGCTTCACTTGCATATGAGTATAATGAAAGAATAATAATAATAATAATAATAACTATATATCAGCTCTTAAAATGAAATCATGACTTGAAAAAAATAGAAAAGTGATCTTATTTAATCTCATTTAGTCTCATTCTTGATATAAAGTTACTATTTTTAGACATTTTAAGATTTTTTTTAAACTATTTTTAATTTTTTAAAAAGTAACACTTTTTGATAATACTTAAATAAGATTTGAAGTCATTTAAAGCAATAAAAATAATTTAAATTGAGAAGTGAAAATCATAATCTTATTTGAAAAATGTGATAAGAGTAGACAGTAAGTCTCACTGAAACAGTATAAGACTACTATCTAATATTAAAACTGTGTAATGAGATCAGTCAAATTGATAATAAGACTATCAAAAAATCTGATTCTGGTCTCAGACACAGTCACATGGTCAGTCTAGTAAAGAGAGACTATAATAAAATAAAATTATTAAAAGATGATGTATAGATGTTTTAACAGACTATATCTGATCAATTTCCATCTCTTCATATTCAGATATTTCTGAATTCAGTCATTTTCTTATAGCTGCTTGAGTTTCTGATAGAAAGTCTATTAAGTATTTAATTCCTGTCTTAGTTGAGAATAAGAATCTTATATTTAATTGATTTAAATCATACTTCTCTTTTAATCTGGCTCTGAGACTATTGTCTAATGCACAGTGTATTATAATATACTCAGAATTTTCATTTACATTGCAGAATAAGCATTCTATTGAATCAAATCTATTATCAAATCTTTATATATAAGATTTAAAATAATCATGTTCTAGTTTCAGCTGAATTATAGATGACAATCTTTTCTTTTTACATTGAATTAAACAAGATTTTCACTTGAGTTTTGTTTCAAATCTTGAATAATGTATACTTTTCCTTTGTTTCTACCATCTTTCATTTTATTTATTTAAATAAGATTCTTTTATCTTTCTCTTTGTAAAAGATCAGAACACTGTTTTTTGAATAAATCTGCTTAATTCTGAACTCTTTTTTGCAGCTAAATCAGCCAATTTATTACTATGAATATTCATATAAGCAGGAACTCAGTGCAGATAAATTATCAGTTTTAATATTCTTCTCTTTTGAATTTTCAAAACAGAATTTAAAATCAGTTCAAGATTCATTTAATCATTATGAATCTGACTATTTCTAAGTCTTTTTAAAGCAGCTTGACTATTAGAGAATATTCATATCTCTTTTAAACTATTTTCTCTTTTATAAGATTTTATTTTAATGAGTTTGAAGGCTTTCACTATTGTAAATAGTTCAGCATCAAAGACTTCAGATTTACAGTCTAAATTTCAGATTAAAATAGAAGATCTTATATAACTAAATCTTAAGAATATATAAATTATATATTTATTTTATATATTAAATTATTATCATATAAAATACAAAGTAATAAAAGTTTTAAACAGTTATAACTACTATTTTAACACTCTATTAAAGATTTATAATATCTTTTATACAAGTTTACTTTAATATATTATCACTGATTTATTCTCTTCTTAACTAACTTCTGACTGATAATTATCAGAGATTGTAGAAGAAATTAAGGAATTTAAATAGAAAATTAAAGATATTTTTAATAAAAGATTTCATAGCCGTAGTTAGACTGATCACTGAGATCATGAATTTTACATTTAATTTCATTTAATCTGATTTTATACATTTCTTGATATGAATCTCACTGAGACTAATTATTAAAAAAACATGCAAAGTGACTATTTATCAGATCTCAAAATAAAATCATAACTTAGAAAAAATATAAAAGTGATCTTATTTAATCTCATTTAGTCTCATTCTTAGTATAAAGTTACTATTTTTAGATATTTTGAGGTTTTTTTTAGACTATTTTTAATTTTTTTAAAAGTAACACTTTTTGATAATACTTAAATAAGATTTGAAGTCATTTAAAGCAATAAAAAGAATTTAAATTGAGAAGTGAAAATCATGATCTTATTTAAAAAATATAATAAGAGTAGATAGTAAGTCTCACTGAGACAGTATAAAACTACTATATAATCTTAAAACTGTGTAATAAGATTAATTATATTAATAATAAAATCATTAAATATTCTGATTCTAATATCAGACACAGTTATACAGTCAGTCTAACTATAGTTAATAATATCTTATTAAATAAGTTAATTATAATTATTCAATCTGAACTTCAAACTTTATGCTATTTAAAACAGTAGCTCTTAACTGATGAGAACTATATACTCACAGCTCTACTGTTTAACTCTTATCTCTAGAATAAGAGAATTAATGTAACAGACTATAGCTAATTAATAGATTATTCTATTATACTCTGTTAAGAGTATACACTTTATGAATTTCATCTTATATATCTGAAACTTCTGTCAGAGCTTTTATTCTTCTATCTCAGAGCTTTATCTTATATATCTGAAATCTTTATCAGAGCTCTTATTCTTTCACTCTGAAGCTTTATCTTATATATTCAAAACCTCTGTCAGAGCTCTTATTCTTTCATCTCAGAACTTCATCTTATACATGTATAAATATTCACTCTTACTGAGATTCTTTTACCTTTTCTCTTTCTTCTTTAATATTTTTTATTTTATTATATATGTTGTATATTCAATACTGATCTTTTCAGTGTAGACCTGTTATAGATATTCTTGCAATAACTCTGTAACATATAAGCATGCTATTCAAGCAGAATAATCAAGTCTACTCATATAGCTTCTCACTAGATACTACTTATATGACACTGCTGTTTAGCTACTGCTTCAGTTCCACCATGTTACAAAGTAAGTGACTTGCTTGTGAATTATGTTAGGTTAAAGTCTCAGAGAGTTAGAGTTGCAGGCACAAAAAATGTGATTAAAAATTGTCACAGAATCTGACTATTTCCTGTTTACCAGGCTGTTAATTTATTGATTTTATTGTTGATTATTAAATTTTAAAGATTGCTTAAACGCCATATGCCTGGATGTCCATGAATGCTTTCCTGCTTCATCAAAAAATTACTTCATCGCTAGGTATTCAAGTTGAATATTCAAGTTGAAATTTAGGAGGTTTTGCCACTGGCAAAACTTTGCCGGCAAAAATCGGAGTCTAAAAATTTTCTACTCCTGGTTGTTACCGGATGCGAAGGGTTTGATGAAATTTTCTGCGGCAACATCGGGAATGAGAGTTTCTTTCGATGTAAAATAATAGTTAATAATAACTCTGGCTCATGAGGTTAAATTGACTAGGCTGCTGGCACTACTGGTTGCGCCAAGGCGGGGAGAAGCAGCAAGGAAGCAGCAAGCATCGTTGCTGTTACATTTTAGTAACTGATAAGGACTGGGAAGGTGACCCTTGCGCCATGGCATGGGCCATCCCGCAGTCCCCTCCGCCGATTCTTGCTGTGCGCTTGACGGAGTCCTCGCCAACCCAAGTCTAGTCCAGCCGAGGCTTTCCTCGGTGTGCTGGTCAGGTTCCTCCGTTCAAGGATAGCAGCAACCTCGTGTACATCATTATTCATCCGTTGAGGGGAAGTGGGCCGTTAATCGCGATGGGAACCTTTAGCTGGTGTGACATTGAGTTGGCAACAGAATGCCATGACGACTGCCAGGAGAGGAGGCATTATTAATAATCGTGTTGCCCAGGCGAGCAGACTCTCTGGAAGAAGGATGAGGGAAGAAGGATGATTACATGTACATGTACGGAGTACATACATCTTTAGAGCCATGATTGTCAATCCTTGAGTGGCCTCCGGTCCTTACTATGTCATTTTGAGATTAAAAACAGATAGGGAGAGGCCGCAAACAACCCTCCCGGAGCTCCTGGTCAGGATTAATAATGGATGCCTATGAAGTGGAAGGGAAGGCTGGGCTGGACAAGAACGGTATCACCACGTGATCTTATCTGACTGATTGTTTGGCAGAAAACAAAACAAACCAACCTTCCGCAAGCGCGATGGATTTTAAATATTGGATGTAATTGCGATAAATAGTTAACCACCCCATACCATCGCTGAACGACTATCGGCCTCTCAATACACCCAGTTCTTGAGTTCCAATGGCTATATAGCTAAGGGCTGCGTCAAATGGCTCGTCGCGTAGCCGTCCGCTCCCCAACTGCTGCAAGTCTCCCAGACTCTCTCCGCATTCCCCCCACAACCTTTTCACTCGTAAAAGCCTTCGGAAAGCTATCCCGATCCTCCCTTCTTGACCTGGTACTCCAATGGCTCGATGACAAGCATGTCAAGGTCTTTCCGCCGTACCTTGGCCCCGGTAGCGTGGCCAATTTCGAAGAGGAGGATGAGGAGGGTTTAAATGCCTACCCACCTGCCGCATCTGTGGAGGAGTTGAGGGCCATATATGAGGAACTACGGGACCGAAAGGGCGGCAAGAGGGAGGTGATTGACCGTATCCTCGAGGGAGACTGGAGACATGGGATATCGCTACGCCAGCTTGCAATGGTGGACATGCGTTATATCGAGGATCATCCAGTCGGACAACGATGGACGGCTCTGCAATTGGTACCCATAGAGGCTGATTCCGCCCAGCCCCAGTCAGGAGGAGATATCTCCACCACCTTCCCCCGATTCCACTCTTCAACTTTCCTTCAATCCATACAGCACGAGATATCTGCGCTAGTGAAGGCTCATTACCATACATACCGCTCAAAAACGCTTCCGTTGACCTTCGTTCGCATTTTCGTTGTCGACTCTCCATACCAGCAGCCGCGGCAATCCCCATACATCTTCACCGACTCATCGAGAATAATATACCTTGCCTTCCCCGATAGTACTCCATATATATATTCCTCCCAGCTTTCTTCTCCATCACCTTCAGGCGCAAAAGCCACTGCTGCAGCTTCAAGCAATGCGCTTACAACAGACGCGCGTACCTTGCGCAGACTGGTCAACCATGCAATACCAAAAGCACTCTCCCGACCCCAAGAACGATATACCCTAAAACCCACCTCCCTAACCGCTAAGAGCCTCCAAACTCTCCTTGCCTTGCGCGGACCCGGCAGAACAAATTCCGCCAATGGCGCATTCACGGTGTTTGCCGACGCGGTGGTTGAGGGCTGTCCCCTTGATCCACGCCTACCGCAATCTGTTGCGCCAGAAAACTACAACACTCATACTGAACATAAATTTGGATACACTGAAGGCGGGAAGGAGAATGAACCACTGCCACAGCAGCACGGCAAATCGGCTGCCAGCACCCTTCCTACTACCATGGGAAAGACAAAGATGCCATTCCAGCAATCAGGAGGAGTAATAACGAACGTGGAAACCCTGCAGCTAGCCAAGAAAAGAAAATTGGCAGTGGGTTCTCGGTTTGGAACTGCTGGTGGCCAAAGGATTCCCCCGGGAGTCTCCACCTCTTCCGCGAGTTTATTCACCAAACAGCCAAAGTATGATAACGCGCCGCCACCACCACCACCACATCATCAGTCCGTCCCCGCCCTCGACCGCCTAGAAATCCATCTCCAAGACCCTCCTATCCCTCGCCATAGGGGCGACGGAGGTGAGGATGACCACGGCGATAACGACGACGACGACGATAACGTTGCCGTTGACAATGAAGATGATAACTACCAAACCAGACCATCAACACTCACTCTAACCTTCTCCGGCTCAAATGTCATTGCGGGCCTCCGAGAGTTGGCGGAGCTGGGCGTGATTGATCCCGCGCGAATGCCGAGCTGGATGACGGGTGAGGAAGGGGTGAGTGTGGCTATTGTGAAAGGGGGGAGGCGGCGGAGAGGGTTTGGGGTGTGAGAGGGCGAGGAAGTCCTGGAGAGGAGAAGGAAGGGGGTTTGTGTGGTGGTTATGCTTGTGTAATTACAACTGGCGTTGTTTTTCTTTTCTATGTTTCAACTTTTTCTATTGTTTTTAAGTTTGTTAGGGAGGTTTGTTTTATGTTTGAAGAGGCTGGCTGGTTATTTCGAGGATAAGGGAGGGAACTACTTCTCGTATTCTGTTCGTTCTCATTACTGTTTTGTTTCTCGGTGTTTGGGGCGTGTGGGGTGGGTTTCTCGTGTTCTGGCGATTTGAGGGCTGGTTTATATATTTATCGTCGACCCTTGGAGACGAGAATCTACGTGGGAAGGATTCATCAGGGAGATTGAAACCGATGCCTTTCGTTCGCCCACCCTGATTGACTTTCGGATTTGAGTGTGTTCTGCTCCTTACTCCAAGCTCTGTATCTGTATATGGGTACGGACTTCTAAATGGTAGATAATTTCAAGGCGAGGCCTGTGGAATCTCGTGATCGTATTTGAAATGCTGGTTTCATTCAATGAACAGTACATATCTCAGCGAGCGTTCATCTGTCTGGCTGCCCGTATATCTGTTATATTTCGGAGCATTCCCCTGCGCACTCTGGGGAGTTCGCGTTCCCACTACCTTACATTTCCTTATGCTAAAGGGGGCAAATATTTAGGGCAAAATCAATTCGTAGGGTATTATCGTTCAATGGGTCGATGGGTTAGCAGAATCCAAAGAAGTTATTATTGAGGACTTTCAAGGTTGGAAACAACCGCTCGCGGCTCCCATCTGAACTGAAAATGGACATGGAACGCTTCCCGGGTCTGCTGGTGAGCTTTGGTTGGTGACTCCCTTGACATTTTCATTCCTCTACCCTGTTCTCGAGAAATCCTTTCGTTTTGAACCAAGCCTGCCATCAATGTAAGGGGGATGTAAGATATCCTGTACAATAGGAAATATCATGTATAGTACCTGTACATCGCCGGACATATGTCTTATTTGGCACGGGCATTGAATGTTGATGCGCGTAAACGCTAGTCAAAGGTAGAGTAAATCGAAAACAGTTCAAAGATATACCCGAGACAAGGCATCTGCGGTATTTGCTCGACGGCATTTCTTACCAACGGGCGAATTGTTTTAATCCCTAGGTGTTTAGTAGAATATATCCATCCTGTAGGGCTTTGTCGCTTTTAGTAATAATAGGAGTACCGAGAATACCGTCGCGACCATGGCTGGTGATATGTTGAATAGTCTAACAGAGCAAATAAACTGGTTAGAACTACTAGGCCCGAAGACTAACTTGAGAAGCAAGCCTTATGCGGGGCAATGCGCGCGAAAAATTGATAACATTGCAGAGTAAGGTAGAATCCATACCTCGTTCACCCGACAATCCAAAGTGGTCAGCAAGGTTTATATATCCTTCGTCGTTGACTCTACCTTCGGCCAAAAGGCCTTGCAAGGGAGCCCCGACATCGGCTTCCCACGCGGAACGACTACAGAGTAAATAGGAATCGCGTCAGTCCCCGACGTTTCGACCTACATTGCCTTCACTAGAGAAATAGGACTTACCAAATGACGCAGCGGACTCCGTTGCTCTGCTGGGTTGCCGCCCACCGCCCGAAACAGGTTTTATGGATATTGTTTCCGCAAGCTGCTTTACACCAGACGATTTCCTGTGACTTGGGATCAAATTCCATAAAGCAAATTGGGCAGTCACCTTCGACGGCTCTTCGTTTCCCGGACTCGTTTTCCGTTGAAGCATTTTCTTGAGGGTTTATCGGAGCTTTCGCGAAAATCTCACGAAGCTCCTGGTTATCATTATTAGTACTTCAGATACTCACAATAATTTCCTCGTGACCCTTCGCAGCAGAATGATGACAAAAGTACTTACCGATGATAGGAATGCCAACTGGTACTCGAGATGTCCAGATACCTTAAGCACATTGTGTAGGACCTGTCACGTTGTTTAAGGATACGCTTTTGCTTCTAGTTTGGAAGAACTTCGGGCTTGGGCCTTACATAAATGATATGCTTGCATTGATTTCCTTGCTGCGAATCAGGACAGGTACACCAAGGCTCAAGCCCGATCACAACTTCATACAGATTCCCAGTCGTCCCCACAATCTGCACCCTCTCCGTCGGCACCTCTTCTGTGCCTTCCCTCTTGCGACCAACGACAAAAAGCCTTTGAAGAGCCAACACGTTAGCAGCAGCTAAACATTGGATATATATCTCTAGAAATATTATCCTGAAGGCCCGTACCTCTGCGTCCTTGCTCTCTCTAGCTTCTGCAAGTAGGTCTGAGGTGGATGCGTCCGGAATATACGTCGTCTGCGTTCCTCCTTCTCAACTAACGGAGAATTCGCGGCTATCTTCTTCCGCTTTCGCGGAGCAGTTTGAATTTCAGGGGAGCTGACTTGCCCCGTTAAATCGATAACAGGCGCAATGCCACTTACGATTTCTTGTCGAACTTGCTTCCGTTTTGCTGAACGGGGCGTAGTAGTAGTCACAGCATGATTGTTGCGTTGGGTCTCTTCAAACGCACGCTTTCTTCCAGACCTGCGGGGCGTACTTGGTAGAGGTAGATTCCGTTGCTCACTCGCCATAGTTCGTGGTCTCGGTGGCTCAAGCCAAAGTTTAGCAAAAAAGAAAAGTATTGAAGGCCATCCCACAAAATTGCTATCCCAAAAAGCCCCTGAGGATGGACCTTCTACGCATAGTACGCTGTACAACGCCTCCAAGTAGAGTTATCACGTGACACATTGGCATCTGGAGGTTAAGAAAAGCTTCAAAGGCGAAATTGCCAAGACACTAAACTGGTGCGGAACATTATTTTTCCTCCAGGCGCCTGTGGTTCATGGGAAGCGCCGCAGCGTTTATCTGACAACGTAATGCTGTTTGTGTGGCAATACTTGTCATTTATTATAGTCGTATAACTACTAAACTAATCTGTGTGAAATTGTTACAAAATTTCATTCAAAATTACATAGCAAATCCCCTATGACTATTGCATGAAATCCTCCGCATGGCTCGGCCTCGCGCTCTCTCTGGGGCGGCTGAAGTGGCCAAGGAGCCCCATTCAGTTTCACTGAAAGGTATGAACACTGGTCGCGGTACATGCTTGTCGAGTTTGCGCAATTACTGGCTGATATCATAAAAACCAGTCTTACGGTGAGCTTTTCTTCCGGTTCCATTCTTACAACAAATCCAGTTCTCTTTCCCTCTTGTGCTTATACCGTTATTCTCGCCGTTCGTGGTCCGAACGGACACAGACTCTCACGACCCTCTCTATCATACCAATATCCGCTCCCGAGTGAAAACGAAAAGGTCCCTCTTAAAGCGTCACTCAGCTACCCTTCTGATAGCTCCGACAGTCAATTCGTTCTCTGTCCAAATGTAAATATGTTAGCTCCAGCCTGCTCCAACATCCAGTGCCTGACATTTTGTTTCGCAGGTTACCCTCCCCCCAGCATTTGGATCTGCGTATGTGGGCGAAACATTTTCCTGCTCACTATGTGCAAACAATGAACTCCCTCTCTATACCGAAAACCGGGTTGTGAGCTCCGTTCGGATAATAGCAGAAATGCAGACACCATCTCAAGTCGTTTCCTTGGAACTGTCCCCGACAGGGGAAGATTCTCAGTCTAGTGGATTGGCAATAGCTCAATCTTTGCAAAAGATAGTTCGATTTGATTTAAAGGAAGAAGGAAATCATGTCCTTGCTGTTAGCGTTAGTTATACAGAAACAACTTTGGCTCAACGGGATCAAGAAATGGCTCCTGGTATTGGTGGCGCTGGCGCAACTCAGGCGGCAAGTGGACGAGTACGCACGTTCCGGAAGCTCTACCAGTTCATTGCCCAGCCATGTTTAAGTGTACGAACAAAGGCGACAGAACTATCACCTCTCGAAGTAGACAATAGAGCGCTTGGTCCCTATGGAAAGACGCGATTACTGAGATATGCACTTGAAGCGCAACTAGAGAACGTTGGCGATGGAGCGATATCTCTTGGAGTATGTTCTCAAACGTTCACTTCTTTTCCTGGATTCTTCTAGCGTTCTCCATTGCCTACAACCAAGACCTCATTTAAAGCCCAGCTAATTCTTCGTATGTTTTCAGTCGACTACTCTTAATCCAAAACCACCTTTCAAGTCAAGGTCGCTAAACTGGGACTTTGAACGATCCGATTCACCGAGTGTGGGACCGCCCACGCTAAACCCTCGTGATGTTCTTCAAGTTGCATTCTTGGTGGAACAAGAGCATGGACAGCAGGAGGGCCTCGAAGGCCTGCAGAAGGATATAAGTCGAGATGGCCGGACTATCCTTGGGCAGTTGTCTATTGAATGGCGAGGCAGCATGGGAGATAGAGGCTTTTTAACCACGGGGAATCTTATGACAAAGAGACGGTGATATCATGTAGCAAACTCTAGGAATATGAATTCAATTGCTTTGGAAGATTTGTTGATCTATTAGCTACTTAGGTTTCAAGTAAATTAAGTGCGTTGGACAGTACAAGACAGAGTAGAGATATGTGCAGTATATACGCGAACATCCTGACTTCGGTGTACCGAAGGACTGGCCATCGTGTCGGATGAGCTAGACAAAACTCACAATCTATCGTCCCCGCTAGACCTGCGCCATCCTGTAACAACATGACTCTTGTATGGGAAATACCTGTTAGCCTCTGCATATTCATTTGTCGATTTCCAGCTGGCAACTGCACCTCACGCCATTCTAGTAGATATCTATAATCTCAAAGCTGATTCAGGAGGTTTTCTTAACGTATACCCAGTCACCCAACATCACGAAACCCACTGCTATAATTACTAACAATATCCCCCTGCCACTGTGACAGTTGGTAGAGGCACTCAACTAAAATGCCTCTTTCCTCGATCTCTCAGCTTTGTTCAAGTCAGCCATTCAGCCATTCAGCCATTCAAAAAATCTCATCAGTCTCACGCTAGAGCTAGAAGGCACGGAATCATGCATGGTGTTGGGAACTGGCAGCTGCCCGAGCCCTCCATGGTACATGTACAATACATTGATTGCCCTGTGGAACCGAATCAAGTATTCATTTAACCCCCCCCCCTTCTCCGTATTTTCACGCTCAGACAACCGACAACCTATCATAGTCGCAAAAGAAATGTTGATAATTTTTAACCCAGCAGCCAATTTGGATGAAGCAAAATCCAAAGTGCAGCGTGCGGCTACCGGGATTCCTACGTAGGATAGTGGTAGGAATCATTTCTTTGCTCCAGAGTACCCCATGATGCCCAGGGGTCTCCTTGATATGTTCGAAATTTCCGAAATCCTTGCCCTATAGAACAGCCGGCTTACTATCACCCCTTTTGAAGCACGTTGGTGAAAAATTCCATTTTGTATTTGTTTTCTCTTGGGATTGCTTGCCTTCTTGATAGTTCTTGTGGTTCGCGTTAAGAGGCTGTGATGGGCTTCTTTCTCCCCAGGGTTGTGGGAAATGTATACAGAGTATATTCGGGTGACAAATCCACTTGTCAAAACCACCCACGGGAGCGAGTTGACACGAAACCTGCATGCTGTCCTGATAGAAGACGTTACATTTGTCGTTGTTTTCTAACATCGACTGACTCCCTGGTGCTCTGGGGTAATCCTCAGGCCCCTCTGGAAATTCTTCTGTTGGGGGGGGGGGGGGACCAGGAAGGGAATATCAATGGGGAGAGCTTCCAGAGCGGCCCAAGCAAATTATCTCTATTGTCGGGGTCTCAACATATGTTTCTGACAAAAAACGAACCCAAAGGTGAATTGAATGCAAGCAAGGGGCCCCAGGGCGATCTCTGGGAATGATTGGTATCAACATGTGGCGGGGAGTTGGGGGCGGGACCTTCCCCGGGTTCTCAAGGGCTCTGCAGAGTCTGCCCTGACATGTTAACCGAAACATCCATAGCAACTGACTGGGGAGAATTGTGGGCCTGTCGAATAATTTATCTGTTATCGTTGATGCGCCCGGCCTCAAAAATAACTAATAAATACTACTTTGCGAGTTACTGTCTAATCATGATAATAGCCATGAGCATCTGAGCTGTTGAGAAATAATTGTCGTGAGGATATGAATGGTGAGAAACATCTCCAGCATAGCATATACGAGATATCCCTCGTAATAATTGAACCCTGCACATTTTACTTTTATGCGTGGATGGGTGCCACGGCCAAGATTTTAGCGCAAGGGATCATCTCCGATTACGTTAAGTTACCCCTGAATATTTTAGTGTTCGCTGTTCTGTTCGTTTTAAATCTGTTCGTTTAAATACAACTCCCACAAGCTTGAGTTTGTATTTCCTGATCTTTTCGGCACAGCGAAAAAGCAAATACAAGATGTAGAGAAGAAATGCCATCTTGCCACGTGTAAGATTTTTCTGCTTCATTGTCCTTGTGGATTGGCAGCGCCCTTGAGGACAAGACAGTGGAGCCGAAAAAAATTCATTCTGATGCGCTTGGCCCATATGCATGACATCCATCCAGAGGCCTATTAATATTTGGGAACCTCGACTCCGCCCATAGCACCCGTGTTTGGGGGCGGGCAGAGCCAAGCAGCAGCGGTTTGTCTCCACAGGTCGGCTGTCGCATGTGAAATAGTTCTTTCTGTGTTCAACCACATATCAAAACGTTCATAGCGAATAATACCCTCCTGTAGGATATATATATATCTGTGTATCTATTTCTGTATTCTTCCACGCTGCAGCTCGCGGTGAGGCGACCTTGAGACCACATTGACCGCTCGCCTTTGCGCTGCTTCATCAACCAGGCCAGGGTGGTGACCATAAATTGGCAGCATCGAATACGACCGTCCCTTGGTAGAACCTAATAAGTTAAGCGCTAGTTCACAGTGACCCAGAGTTGTTTCACCTGCCTGCAGGTCGACAGCAAAAGTTAGACGAGTTTGTATCTGGCTGAAGTATTCCCCACTAATGATTGGTTTTCCTGTCCAGGTCGCCTTCTGCAAAACGACCTGAAACTCGGTGGAATATAATATGGTTCAACTATTTTTGGTTCCTGAACAAGTCAAACCTAACTTTCGCGGAGACTTGGTTGGTGGCCTCGCGGGATTCTGGAGCCCAACGGCTGATGATAACCTTTTCCCCTTCACTTTCTTCTAACTATCTGCCACTTTTTCGACGACCACCAGGCAAATTAAAATATAATCACGTAGCGGGTGATTAGGACCCAGCTGAGCCAGGCAAGGAGAAATGCAAGCCGTGGGACTCCCTAGGGTCTGTCCAAACAATTGATACTTGGCTTTTCATTTTATAGCAGTTATTATTAGTTATCGAGCCTGTTAGCTGTCAGTCGCGGGCGGGGTAGGGCAGGACAGGGTCCTTGGAGTGACTTGGAATGAATGGCAGACTCCCCCATTAGCTCGACCTTCCAGAAGCAGCCACGATGTCTTTTTTTTTTTTTTTTTTTTTTTTTCTACCAGCTAGAAATTCGTAAGACCTGCACTGCAATATAATACATGTACAGGGACTGTAAGCACAAACTAAGAAATTTATCTCCAGTACACTACACTGTACGGAGTTACTCTGTAGCCAAAGGAGGGAAAGGAACCCAACCAAGACAAAAAAGGAAGCAAAAGGAAGCAAACGGACGGGGTTTTGCTTCCACCTACAAAGCTTTCCTTTCTTTTTCCACAACGAGAGACGAGAGACGAGAGACGAGAGACGAGAGACGAACGATAAACCATAACTACCTGGTTTGAATCAATAACCCCAGCCGCCAAGAGACCTGCTAGTGGCGTCTGGCGCAGGAATTAGTTAGCGGGACACCCAGTTTCCTCCAACCGTTGGTGGGTGTTGTCTTTAAATGGTGGCTGATCCAAGTTGCCGGCAGAAAACCAAACGCAACGACACCTCCCTCGCCCTAAGCACCAAGGAGAGCCCAACGAGATCGCTCATCCTCCCGAACTCCTCCTCTTTATCTGTTTGTCTTGCCTGGGATTCCATTGTTTTGCATCTCTGCCACCAGCCGTCGGATAACCCGAGATCCGTTCGAACATTGCGAAAGGCTATGATATCGAGGTGCGGGGGGGCGATCTATTGTTTAGCGGTGCTCTAACAACGCTGTCTCTCTCCGTCCAGAAAATTCATACCAACGATAACAAGAGAGGAGGGCTATCCCAAAACGACTTGTAATCACAGGACATCATGGCTCCATCACCTTCTGCTGAATCACTCCCGGGTCCCCTCGCAGACTTTTTTTGGATTGCTGGTGTCGATGGGCCGGAGATCCTGGATATATTCTCGAAGCTTGGGGAGGAGTACAAAGCCAACCATTCCCAATCGCTGCCGGTAACGGATACAATTCAAGAAGATGCAGATGCAGAAGAGGCAATCCACTCTCGTTCAGGATCACCCCAGCCGTCCTCCAAGCGGAATTCGTCCCAATGGCTACCAAAACCATCCGACGAGGCGAGGTTATCCTATCGATCCATGGCATCTGAAACACCAAGTAACCGGAGCAGCATGACCATCAAAGGCTCCCAATCTCCAAATGGACTCTCTTTACTCAGTGACGGCGACTTTGACAAAGCATTGTTAAAATTTGCTGCTGAGAGGGACTCATTTTTGTCCGATCTCTCGCTCAGTGCAGGTGCTGTAGTCGCCAATAATCGGCCCAAACCACGACCTAGGACACAGAAGATTGTGGCAGAGGAGGTCAACCCGCTGAAGTCGAGCATTGGTAGCGTTCGCAGACATATGTCTTTTAGGGACATGAGCAGCATGAAGAGACAACCATCTCTTGCACGTCAGTGTGAGTAGTGGCATATTGTTACCCGTTCTGAACCTTCCCTATCTTTATATCTTCAGTTGGATTCTGCTAACTAATACTAATTACTACAGCTTCTGTTCGCACTTCCAGACGACTAAGTAACTACAACTCGGTAATCCCAGTACCTCAACCGCTTGATGTATCTCCTAATATGCACCCACTGAAGCGTAAATTCGAACCTGTCCTTCTCGACAGATACCCGCCGAAAGGAGTCCCAGACGAGACCAAACAGAGAGGCACCTTCCCTGACTACGTTCCAATGTTTGCTTTCCCGAATGATATCAATATCGTGTCCTCTGACCAGAGACCCCGCTCGACCTGGCATGGGTTCGCAATGACGTCAGGAGATGGATCTAAGCTACATGGTGTCTGTGTGACGATTTGGATTCCCCTCAACCATAGAGCTGCTGAGGAATTGGAAAAGCGATGTGAGGAGTGGAGGCGAGTCAACATGACGGACGAGGAGCGGGAACTGGCTGCCAGCCTGGGTGAACGACTGGCCATGGAACGAGCGAAGCTATCCAGGCTACTTGCTCAGCTGCCTTCAGTGCCTTCAGGCTCCGCCTCCAGGGACCAGCTGGAAGATGAGATAAGTTCAGTGGAGGAGAAAATTGGGCTCATGGCCGATCTCCTCCGCCCGGTCCGACTAGGTGCTGCAACTAAAATTGACGGGCTCACTGACGGGGATACAGGATTTTGGATCCCGAGAGCATACGGAATTTTAGGAAAAGATGGATCAATGACCAGTTTTTGGAAAGAATGGCTGCGGGCCGTTATTGTTCCAATGACTGATGGTGCTGTGCAAAGGGTCCCTGCTAGCTCTCCTAAGGTAGGTAGGTGGCAGCCATTAGAGCGCTATGTTGTGAACCTCTGCACCGAAGCCTTTAGCCCCTTATCTTCGAAGACCCAAGTTGAGATCGCAGTGCGAGAATTGCGTCTTTTTGCCCGAAAGGAAGCGATCAATGAATTGCCTGGTTCTCGAAATGTATGTGGCATGGTAAATCCCACTTGGTTCAAGACTTTGACTGACCGAAACATAGACCGACTTGTATGCACTCTTCCGCTCGCTTTCAATCTCAAATATAATCATCTTGTTCGAAGTAAGTTTATAGTCAAGCCTTGTTCTAAACACAAACTTTCCTGAATTCCTTGCCTAACTAAACTGCAGTACATCCTTGTTGAATCCCGTATAATTCTCCTGTCATCTCATGCTGCCATGTTGCACTTGGCGAGCAAAGCCCTCGTTGATCTGCTCTTTCCATTTCAATGGACAGGCGTCTTTATCCCTATCCTACCTGCCCGGCTTATCCAAGCACTCGAAGCGCCTTGCCCCTATATTGTGGGAATTGAGCGGAGGTACGAAAAGGCGGAGCTTCCTTCTGATGACTTTGTACTTGTAGACCTCGACCAAAATGAGATCGAAAGCACGGCGAGACCTACTCCTTTACCTCGCCATCATCGTCGCAAGCTACAATCCCTCCTTCAAATGGCTGCTCCTCTCCATAATAGATACGGAGTTCACCCTGGAGCCCCTTCCTATGCAATTGAAACTTATCCATTCGACTCATTTCCTGGCGAAAACCAATCGATTTTCTCACCTAGGGCGCCGCCCACTCAACTCGCTAAATACGTGAGCGTAAATTCTACGGCGTTCGGCCAGGATCCCTCCGTCTCTCCAACTTCACCAATTTTTAATGTCTTTTTAAACGCTCGGAATGATGTACCCTTTTCTAGGGGGCATGACCGCCCGACAACAAGCTCAACATCGAAGGCTGGCACTCCGCCCTCCCCAAAAGCTTCTGGCAGCTCTTCTCCGACCTCAAATAAATTCCCCACTTTGCCTCCCACACCTATATCTCGCAACGATTCAGGATTTGCCCTCCAATCATCGTTGCGGGAGAAGAGATCAGGTCATTTCGATGCCGGTTCCCGCAGAAGTTCGTCGTTCGGTGACAGAAAGCCCAGTATACCCAGGCGACCTAGTGCTCCATTCCTCAGCCATACCTCTAGCCTATCTATATCAACTATCAATACTGACAACGGGACATCTGTTTATGCACCATCCATATATGCGCAATCCACTGTGGCAGCGTCGACTATCATGCCGAACTCGTCCCAACAACCACTACGTAACCCTGCTGGTACCACGATGGTAGAGGGACACTGTCTACAACTACAACCATGGGATGACAGGACTCCTTGTTCGATATGTGACGAAAAGGCCGAGGAAGGCATGTACAAATGCTCATCGTGTAGCACAATTGTCCATACCCGTTGTGCATCCCAGATTACCCTCGTATGCCCAGCTGCGTTCAATCCTGAACAGGTCCGTGCCGCATTTGTCCGGTGCTTCGCAAGTCTGCTCTACACATATAAGAAGTTTCTCCGACCTGCAACGGGGGACAAGAAAAAGGCCGGTATGAGTTACACTTTCAACATGGATGCATTTCTCAAAAGCTTGCCACACGAGCACGCGGAATACATGACTATACTCCAACAAACGCAAGGTATGTTGGACATAAGACACCCGCAATTATATATTAGTATCCAAACATGCCCCTCGCCAAGAGCCACGACTGATGTTGTCTAAATCTATAATTCTAACATTTCTTCGCAGGGTTCAATGAGTTTATCAGCGAGCGCGAACAATCATCTCTTTCATCCAGAGATCCCCGAGTTACGCTGTTTGACGAGATTATATTATCAAAACGCAACCGCGGCCGAACATCGATCTTCTCAGGTCGCATGACAACCAATTTCTTATCGGATACGTCAGACCATCTCTGGCGCTCGGCAAGCGCAACTTATATACCCAGCAGCCTGCATCAGGCCACCAACTCAAATGATTGGAAAAGCGCCGTTGCGAGAGGTTAGTTTAATGCTAGCCTTCTTTCCTGCTTTTATTTTTATTTCCCCTTGCAGAAATACATCGTCGAATTCATCTCTGAATATACACCTATACTTTATTGTTTTGATTTTATTGACACTTTGTTTCGCTAACCTTTTCTCGATAGCTCCCGCAAAGCTGGATCCGAACCACATGGAAGAGCCGCGCATGATTCAAGGGGCAACCCGAATATCCAAAACTACAAATAACGCGAGAAGAAAACCGGTCCCTAAGTTTCAAAATGACAACGTTGGTTGGCCGCCCTAGTTGGCCGCCCTAGTTGCCTAAGCGCCCGCATCAAAGACGAGGAGGTTTGAGAGCGATCAGCTCTCTTATTTATCTATCTATCTATCTATTTATCTCTTTTCCGGACTTGTGATTCGTCCCCTTTTTGCTCTACACTTATTACTACGTTTCATGATATCCCCAATACCCTCTTCTCCTATTTTGCGCTTGTGTTCTCTTTCCCTACTCTCATTAGAATTGCCTTCGAAAATCTATGACCCAATTCCGCTAAATCTCCATGCCCGTCTCCTTTTTTGTCTTGGAGAACCATGACCATTGATTCTTCTCCCCTTTTTTATTATTTAAAAACCATCTATACCTGTGTATGGCTCTTTCATTTTGTCCCACTTCTTGTTTTTGATCGGACAGGTGGATTGGAAATCTCCGTTTTGCCCATGTCTGCTGCCAAATTGCTGCTGCCAAATTGTTTGTTACACTTCTCCTTCATTGTGGCACTGATCATATTCTTGGGTTATTTGAAACCCGCTGTGGGAATGGGAAGTGTCCTATTTTTTGATTCTGTTGGCATATTCAGATTTGGTTTTTGCCTGCTTGCGTGTTTCGATTTTGATATTGATTTGTGATTTTTTTCCTCCCCCTTTCGTTAATTTTCCCACTTCTTGTTTTCACCGCGTGCTTATTGAAATACGTCCTTTAATAGTTCCTCCTTTTCTTCATTAACTTTGTTTGTTCTACTACCCGTTGTTCCGTTGCTCATATCATAATTCCCCGCCCTGAAGGTTCTCTTTCTTCTTATGCACGCAGTGTTCTCTCTTACCTATCCGTGTGCCAACTGCGCTTTGATCACACATCCCGCCCTGTCCCTCTTCTGCCCAAGTCTACGCCATGTAGAAAATCGCATATAAGACGAAAATTGCACAAAATGTAATTTATGTGGTTGTATGATATAAAATATTATGATTACTATACTGTGATGTGAGAAAATAGAAAATGCGCTAGACATATCCCGTCTCTGTAAACCTATTTCAATGAACTTTAATTATTAATATTTCAAGAATTTTCATTGAAAAGTGTTCTAAAAAAGAATATAATAACTTATATATATAACCGTGCCATGCTTACTCACTCTCTCTAGTGAGTGCGCCACAGTGTACAGAAAACAATATCATACAGAAAATATTATCAATATCTTCATTCTTCATCTTCAAATAATCATCATTAATTATAATCATGTCTAAATCTTCTAATTACACTGAGAAGCAGTTGCAAAGAGCTATTAACATATATAAAAGTAATTTAAAATTAAAAATCACATCTCTGTTACAAGAATTCAAAGTCTCATATATTATCTTATATAAGAGAATCAACAGAAAGAAATCAAGAACTATGAGAGTTTCACTGAATAGAGCATTGAATAACAGTTAGAAAGATAATTAAGATATGAATTCATCAGTTGAATATTAATTTTTACCTGCTCATTATCAAGTATATCAAAGCTGCTGTAAATCACATATTGAGACAGTATTATACAGATTCAGGGACTGCATCTCTCACAGTAAGTAAGATATAGATATATCAATTTATCAAACATTTGTCAGATTATAAACAGATCAAGCAAAAGCTTATAAATTCAAAATAGATATCTTATAAGAATATAAGCTTCATTATCAACTGATTTAATTAATATAAAGCTGTCTTTAATTAACATCATTTTTTTCACTGTAATATCTACAACTTCAATGAGATTGAATTTCAAGAAGAAGAATAATGTGAACAGTGAATTATAATCATCTTTAAAGATATGAACTCTGTCATACAGTTATTATACTTCTGCAGATTAATAACAGTGATAAAGTGTGTTAATACAGATAATACTAGACTGACTGTGTAACTATATCTAAGATCAGAATCAGAATATTTAACGATTTTATTATTAATTTAATTAATTTTATTACACAGTTTTAACATTAGATAGTAGTTTTATACTGTCTTAGTAAGACTTACTGTCTACTTTTATCACATTTTTTAAATAACATTATGATTTTCACTTCTTAATTTAAATTATTTTTATTACTTTAAATGACTTTAAATCTCATTTAATTGTTATTAAAAAGTATTACTTTTTAAAAAATTAAAAATAGTCTAAAAAAACCTTAAAATGTCTAAAAATAGTGACTTTATACTAAGAATGAAATTAAATGAGATTAAATGAAATCACTTTCTTATTTTTTCTAAGTCATAATCTCATTTTAAGATCTGATGAATAGTCACTTTACATGTTTTTTTAAGAATTAGTCTCAGTGAGATTTATATCAAGAAATGTATAAGATCAGATTAAATGAAATTAAATATAAAATTCATAGTCTCAGTAATCAGTAGACTGACTGTGTGACTGTGTCTAAGACCAGAATCAAACTTTATAGTTATTATATTGTCTAAAAGCATTACTTCTGATCATGATTTGTGTTCATCACATTGATCTCAAATCATGTTATTTTAAACATTAAAGATTTCAGATTCACTTTTTAAATAAAAATCTAGTCTCAGATAAAGAATATATTTGAATTCTTAGTCACATTTTCATTCTGATTTCATTATTGAGAATGATATTAAATGAGACTATGAAATCATTTCTTACTTACATAATATTATAATATAGTACTCATTTATTGAAAATTTAACAGAGAGTATTATCAAATATTATTACTTTTCTAAACACAGATCATAATTCATATAATTTTAATTATGAAAAAAATATAAAATATAAAAAAAAAACAAAAAACAAAAAACAAAACAAAAACAAGAAAAAATCACAATAAAAAAAAAAAAAGAGAGTCTCAGTGGCCGAATGGTTAATGCGGCCACCTAGTAGCACCTTGGCGTGGGAAACCAAGGCGCGTGGGTTCGAAACCCGCAGAGGATACATTAAATCCGGAACTCAAGCACCTCAGGTTTCTAATAAATACAGAGGTGTACAAATCACTTCAATGAATCACTCTATGTTCCTGGGCTGGGAAGTTATTATCGTATGTATCTAATTGTCACTTCTTTGTATTTTTCTATGTTCTTGTTATCTTGACATGGTCTCAACACCTGTATTTCCTTCTGTATAATTAACACTTGATCTGTATTTAACATCATACAAGAACTCATTATAAGCTCCGCTTGCATATGAGTATAATGAAAGTATAATAATAATAATAATAATAATAAAAAAAAGAGAAAGACAAAAAAAAGAAAAGAAAAAGAATAAAATAAAAAATAAAAATAAAAAAAATCAAGATTACAGAGCTGTAGCATCTCTAAAATACTTACTTCTCAGAGTTTTTACAATGTTTATTATCAACTGTGTATCTCTTATAGTGAGAGTAACATAGCTGCAATGAGTTATTATCTTAATATTATTTAATAAATAATCAGTATATATCTGTATAAATGTGAATAATTAGAAAATATACACTTAAAAAGTGTGATCAGAGTGAACTCTGCTATCACTTAAATGATATCAAGAGTAGAATGCTGAAATCAATGATTTCTCTCATTAATTTCACAGATAAGATATGTAAAGATGATCTTGAGAAATATAAAATTCTCTGACTTCTGATAAAAACAGATCTCACAGAGAGACTCTATTTTTATAATATCAGAGACTGAGTGTTATTAAAAAGAATTACTTTCATACAATGTATATATACTTACTGCAGTGATTTACTCTCTGTGTATATAACTAAGAGTTGCAGCTTTCTCACATTATACAGCTCTCTCTGAAATACTACTGTCAGTTTACAACTCATGCAGTCTCTCAGTTCAGTATGCACTGTATATATACAGCTCTGCATGCTGAGACTGTGTTAATCATTATAATCTGATATAATACTTACTTTTCACAGATCATGTTTCATTTGAGAAGAAAGAGAGAAGATATGACTGTTATTTTATTAAGACAGAAATGAATAATTAGTATTATTGAATGTAATTTAATTCATCTGTATTTAAAATTTGATTAGTCTATACTCTTCAATTTGAGAGTTTCTAAGAGTGTTTTAATAGTTTTCATACCAGCTTGAACTTAGTAATGAGTTGAAGAAGAAGAGAAAAGAGAGAAGAAAGAAATGAGAATTACTTATCTTTATAATATGAAAACAGAGAATCACTGTAATCATTCTCTCTAACAATAAAGATCTGTTTTCTGCATGTATCTCTGATATAGATTATATAATAAATGCATACAAAGAATATCAATAGTGCATGTATTGAATGAAGATAATATTGCTATATAATACTGTAGCTGTTTCTGTACATCTCTGAAAACTGTTAATAGTTTCTTTGTCTCTTTATACTTAATAAGTTAATAATATATTTCAATGCACTCTCTCTTTCATTATTATTATTATCACTATTATCATCATCATCATTATCATGATTATTATTATTATCATTATTATTATCATTATTATATCATTGCTAGCTGTCTCTTCTATCTTCATCTCTTCTTAATACTTATTAAAATGAATCATGTTATCTCTCTTCAAATATTCTGCGGTCCTGCAGATCACCAAGACATGTGAGCACTGTCACAGATTGAAGAAAGAGAAGAAGAAGATATTTAAGTACAGAGAGACAGATTGTAAGATATATTATAATATCTTGAAGAGACTTCATAAGAAAGCAGAATGATAATGATTTTAAGTAACACTTCTGATAGATTTAGACTGAACTAAGTATAGAAATAATGCAGATAATACTGTCTGTGAGAGATTAAAAAAGAAGACAGTGAAGAGTCTTATACAGTAGCAGTAAAATCAGAAGAAGTTCTGAGAATGATTTAAGACTAAGATAGAGAGAGAGAGAGAGAAGAAGAGTATTACTGTAAATAAACAGTAATAGAAGAAGATTGAGAAGATATTAAAGTGAGAGATAAAGAAGTCAAAACTGATAAGTTTTTTATTAAGAGATAATAATTTTTGATAACACTTCTGTTCTCTAATTAATTAGCAGAAGATGACAGAGAAGAAGAGAATTAAGACCTTGTTCAGATCTCAAATGTGCTTCATAATTCAGAACATTGAGAAGACAGTTCTGCTCTCTGAGCATGTCAATCTGCTTATTACTAAGGTGAAACCTGAGACAGTAGATCAGAAAATACAGGATTTTGAGATACAGATTAATCTGACTGAAGAAAAGCAGTGAAAACTCTTCTCTGAAAAGACAGCAGAGAGAGATTTTGAGATGATTATTATCTCAAATAAGAAGAAGAAGAAGAAGAATGAGAATGAGAAGTGAATTATAAAGAATGATAAGAAGAATGAGAAAGAGAAGAAAGATAATAAGTAGAAAAAGATTTTTTCTTTTTATATTAGTTAGTTATAAGTTTATAACTATTAGTTAATAATTGAAATTAATTTTAAGTTTTCAAAAATTATTGTATAAGTTGTAATCAATTATTAATATCAGGAATAATATATATATATATATTCAACTATCATATCATCATAATGTATAAGTATCAACATTTTTTCAATATTAATATTCACAATATTAATATATTTTTAATAATATCATCTAATAATGTAATTTGATAATACTCTCTTTCATAATATTAATATATTTCAAGAAATATAATAGACATTAATCAAGATTATTTATTTACTTTTATACATCAATGATATTCAATCTGAGTTAGTACTAAAATTATAACTAAGCTAAGAAAGAAGATTATTTTCTCTTATATTAATTCTTCTTACACATATCAGTGATCAGTTATTGAAAATAAATTATTATCTTTCTTAAATTATTATTATATTTTCTGAATGCACTTCTTTCACTTCTTTTACTTCTATTGAAGATTCATAAACTCTTTAAGAAATCACTGTGAATTACAAAGTCTATGTTATTTACAATTCAACACAGAATGCTCTCTTTCAATTATAATGAATAATCACTTTATTCTTCATATCTGATTTCAGGTCATGAAATTTATGAAAAACTCAATATAAACACTGAGATAAACTATGAAATAATTATTAATAGATTATATTACAGATTACTGAAGAGTTATCTCTCTACTATAATTACTGTAACTCTATTCAGAAATATTTATCATGAATTAATTATAGTTT